CCACGTGGGCACCTGTCTCTATGCAGGAACATTCTATCTGGCCAGAAGAGAACATGTGAGAACTTCCAGTCTTCTCTCTATATATTTATGGTTCTTTCCAAACATGTCTTACTTGTAAGACTTTGTGAGATTTAGGATGGAGCAGGGCCTAACTCCTCTCTGTGCCTCGTGTGGGGTGGGGCACAGAATGATGAGGCCACCAAGTCCTTTCAAATCAAAATAAAAGGAGGTGTTGGCAGTAGGGAAAGTTCCAAGCTGCGAGTCGGAAGGCCTGGCCCTTCACAGACTTGCTGGACTTGCTTCGTGACTTTGAGCCAGACTTGGCCTCAGCTTCCCTTCCGCCATCTGCTCGAGGGGAGCGACTGTCCTCGCCTGGCTTCACCCACCCTCCCGCCCAGAGCTGTTGTGCGTTCAAAGCAGATAATGGATGTGAGGCCCCGGGGTTCCGTGTAATGCTGATTAATATTAATGATTTGACATGCAGTTGCCTGCTGCTGCTAGGCCCTGGGCCAGCTGCACTCCATGCAGGGGCCTCAGTGGGAGAGCGTTGGACTTTCCCCCTCCCCCACCCCTTCTTCTGGGCACCTCCCACTGTCCCCAGGGGTTTTGACCCTACCTCTTCCCTCTTCCCTCCCAGATTTTTTCCTTGGGCCACTGCCCCAACCAAGACTGGCTGGCCGTCGGCATGGAGAGCAGCAATGTGGAGATCTTGCACGTCCGCAAGCCAGAGAAATACCAGCTGCACCTTCATGAGAGCTGTGTGCTGTCCCTGAAATTTGCCTCCTGCGGTGTGTCTGTCTGGGGCTTGGGGGGGACTCCAGGGCATTGGGACAGGGTTGCCAAAACACAAAATAACACCTCCCCACACACCAAAAACAGTTAAATTTGAATCTTAAACAACAAATAATGTGTTACAATAAGTATGTCCCAAATAATGCACGGGACATACTCATAATAAAAAGCAGTTAATGCATCCCAAATATTGCATAGGATTTACTTACGCTAACAATTTGTTGTTGTTGTTTTTTAGTATAAGTATGTCCTAAGTATTGCATGGGACACACATATACTAAAAAAAAGAAAAAGAAAAAAAATGAAATCATTGGGACACCTCTGCACTACAGATAATTTGTGGTTCATCACGATTCAGATGTCCCTGGGCACGGTGTATTTTATCTGGCCAGCCCTCTCCTGGGGGCACCCCTTCTTGAAAATCAGATGGAGGCCTGGGGCCCTGGGGCCTTGACTTTACCATCTGGAAAATGGAAGGATCAAGCCTCAGTTCCCTAAGGGGGCTTGTGTCCCCCTAATGGGAGAGGCCAGGCCCACCGCTGCCAGCAGTCCACAGCCCCAGGCTTCTTCAGTCCCTCCCTCCTCCAACCCCCCCCCCCCTCTTCCCCCAGGGCGGTGGTTCGTGAGCACAGGGAAGGACAACCTGCTCAATGCCTGGAGGACGCCATATGGTGCCAGCATTTTCCAGGTACGTGGGGGCCGTCTGGAGCCCAGCCCCTGGCAGGATGCCATGTGCCCAGGGCCCCGGGGTGGCTGCACTGGCGGTGAAACAGCTCTCCTGGGTCCTCCGTCTCCCCTGCAGACGGCTGCTAACGCTGGGTCCGCAAACGGCAGCCCACGGGCTACATTGCTGCCCAGCCTGTTTCCCTTTTCATTATGGTAAAATATGACAAAGTGTGCCATCTTAACCATTTTTAAGTGCACACTCCAGTGGCATTAAGTATATTCACAGTTGTGCCACCATCACCACCATCCACCTCCAGAACTTTCTCATCTTCCCAAACTGACATTCTATGCCCATTAAACACTAACACCTTCTTCCACTCCCCCATTCTCCCTCCCCTCCCCCCAAACCCCCCTCTCCGCCCCCCCCCCCCCCCCAGCCACAAATTAAACCTGGGAGGCCCAAGAATCCAGACTCCTTTAAGGACCCTCTGGGAGTGAGGCA